TCCCTGAGATGTATAGTGACCCTATGTACAGCAGATCTGAACCTTTCCCTGTCCTGAGCCAGTCTCACTAACTCTGTCTGACACACCAACCCCCATCACCCCAGTTACTGTATCAATCCATCTCTTCCGGGTTCTTTCTCTCCTGCGTTATCCATCTATGCTTCCAAGCATGAAATCCTTTTCCAAAGACTGATCTCTACTGGCCACATGCCCAAAGTAAGTGGAGTTTCAAATTCCTAGACTCCAAGGAAAGACTTGGTTTTACCCTCTCCAAGACAGAACTATTTGTTCTCTTGGCTCTCAATGGTATGTTCAAGACTCTTCCCCAGCACCACAACTCAAAGGTGTTTATTTTTCTTCTGTCATCCTTGGTCATTGTCCAACTCTCTGAAGCAAAAAGTAATTTAGAAGACCATGGCTTGAATTAGATGCACCTTTGTATCTAGATTGACACTCTGAAGAGTTCCATGACAGTAGATTTTCCCAGTGCAATTCATCTTTTGATTTCATGACTTCTGGTGTTAAGAGTGTTGATTGTGGATCAGAGCAAGCTGTAATTGCTAACAACCTCAATCTCTTCTCCATTTGGTATGGTGCTGCCAATTCGCCCAGTGGTGAGAATCTTTGTCTTCTTGATGTTGAGCTTTAATCCATATTGAAGACTACAGTCCTTGACCTTTTGCAGCAAGTGCTTCAGGTCTTCTTCAGGTTTCAGCAAGCAAGGTTGTGTCATCCTCATATCATAGGTTGTTAACAAGTCTTCCTCCAATCTTGATGCCACACTCCTCCTCATAAAGCCCTGCTTCCCGAATGATCTGTTCTGCATACAGATTGAAAAGGTAGAGAGACAGGATACTTCTTGCCTGATTTTGAACCATGCAGTGTTTTCTTGTTCTGTTCTGAGGACTGGTTCTTGGTCCAAGTATAGGTTTCATAGAAAAATGATCAAGTGTTCTGTGATTCCATTTTCTTCAAGGTTAGTCACTATTTATTGTGATCCACACAGTCAAATGCCTTTGCATAGTCAATGAAATACAGATATTCACTCTTCTGGTACTCTCTGCTTTTCTGCCAAGATCCATCTGACATTGGCAATAATGTCCCTAGTGCCATGACCTCTTCTAAACCCAGCCTGCATTTCTGGTAGTTCTCTGTAAATGCACTGTTTAAGTCTTTCTGGATAACCTGCAGGATTTTGGTAGTGTGTGATATTAGTGATATTGTTCAATAATTTCCACATTCTGTAAGGTCACCTTTTTTTAGAGGGGGGGAAACGTCTTTTATCCTCTGCTCTTAAGATGCTGCCTACTAATACAAAAGAGAAAAGACCTCACAGCCATTGAGTTGGAACCAACTCATAGCTGACTGTCCAATGAGCTTTTGGAAGCTTTAAACTGCACAGGATGAAATTGCCCATCCTTCTTTTTTTGAACAACTGGTGAATTTGAACCATCTGCCTTTGGGTTAGCTGCTCAACTTCTTACCAACTAGACTACTGCCATTGTTGTTGTTAGATGCTATCAAGTTGAGTATGACTCATAGCAACTTTATGAACAACAGATCTGAATCCTGTCCTACCCTTGCCATCCTCACCATCTCTGATAGATTTAATTAAGTCCATTGCTGTAGTTACCACATTGATCCATCTCAATAGAGATCTTTCTCTCTTTTGCTGACCCTCCACTCTTCCATGCATGATGTCCTTTTCCAAAGAATAGACTCCTATCAACATATCCAAAGTAAGCGACACTAAACTTTGCCACCATTGCCTCCAAGGAGCACTCCAGCTGCACCTTTTCCAAGACAGACTAGTTCTTTTGGCAGTCCATGGGATATTCAGTAGCCCCTTACTAATACAGCTGGATTTTTCTTTCAAGTCAGAAAGCAAAGCTGTCCTCAAACCATTATGCCCTTAATGCACCATTTTTGCTATCTGTATATCTGTATCAGTTTATTGCATATATATAAGAGTGAGGAGATAGAAGGATCTACCTAATATCCAGCTTTTATTGCTGGGTGTTTTATGAATTCAAGTCTGCTGCCACAAACCACGAGGAAACCAATTATGCGGATACAATCTATGACAAGAGTCCTCAAATGCTGTAACACCTAGTATCTGGGTAAAAGCCTTACCTTGTTTAGGTAAAGGATATGGAATGCTGAAATAATCTTCATAAAATTCCAGCAGAGTCACAGCAGCATCCAGAGCATAATTAGCTTGATTGATCTTGTCTGGCACTGCATATACAGAAACCTAGAAAGGAAAAAAAAGGCATTTCAGTATCAAAGCTGTTTTGTTCCACAACAACGAGAAGATTGACATTCATAGCCTCAGACAGAGGTATAAGTTTGTCAATATTAAAGAACAAATTTGGGAGTAGATTCTATATAAAAATGCTCACTCTACCTGACCAAATATCCTTCTGGAAACAATCTCAAATGCTGGATAACACATACAGAAAACATCTTTTAAAGTGGTTTCCCCAGAAAAAAGAAAAGTTAGACTTAAAGGCCAAAACAAATGGCAACTGGTGGCTCTTACTTCATTCCTATAGCCAGAAATCCCATGGTGAGATAGTCAGTGATGTTCTCATCCAAAGTGTATAATTTTTTTAGCCAAAAAAAACCTAAAGAAGACCATTGACTTCAACTTCAAAGTTTTAAAAAAGTGTGAGCTAAATACAGAGGAAACAGGTGCAAGCTGAGATTTTAAGTTAGTGAGGAAGCTAAGACTGTGACTTAGGCTAGGATAAACACTGTTTTAAAAAAACAAACCAATAAAACCACCAAAAAACAAAACCATGTGGTAAAGCACTTTTCTGTTATCTCACTGTAGTTAGGTAACCTGGGATCCTGTGGTACTAAATGCCGTGCCAGTGGTGCATCAAATGCCATAATGGTTACACATGGTTGGCAATGTTTGGTAGAACTCACAGATTAAGACAGCATTGGAAGCAGGAGCGGCATCCACTTCCTAAACATGACTGTGGAAATTCTTTCAATTTAGAGAGAGGACAATTGTTATACAAAAGAGTTTAGGTTTTTTTGTTTATAGAATCATTGCTTGATGACACTTAACAACATATAAAGCCAGGCCCTTGTCTCCATTTTGGGCTGGGTGAAGTGGTGGACTCTATAAGATAATGCTCTTGTTTTGGTTGAGGATCTGTGTAGATTGTGTGGTTGGTTTTTTTTTTAAGTTAAGCCTCTTGTTTACAGTCCAGACCTCCTAAAGGGCTCTTACGTTTAAAAGTTGGGCCAAGGGATTATGTTTTAATCCCTTGTTACTATTGTGGTGGAAAACTCTTCTAAATCATACAGCACTCTGGTCAATTTGGTATGCTGATGTAATCTGGGTTTGCTGTGACACTGAACCGTTTGGCACTGGAGTCTCAGATGCCACAATGGGACAACTGTGCCATAGGTGAGCCAAACACTACAATGGCCACCCATCGTGGGCAGTGTTTGGTGGAGCTCCCAGATTGATTCAGGTTTGGAAGCAGGAGTGGCATGTACTTCCTAAAACACATGTCTCTGGAAACTCTAACTCTCTCTCTCTACATATGTATATGTATATGTATATGTATGTATGTATGTATATGTATATATGTGTGTGTGTGTGTGTGTGTGTGTGTGTGTGTGTATACATATATAAAATCTCCCTTGTATTTAAAACTCAGTTGACCCTGAGGGTGTAGTGTTATTTTTGGAGGACCATTCTTCTAAATTGTGCAGCATTCCTCTGTCAATTTGCTGCATTGAGGTAATCTGGGTTTGCTGTGATACTGAAAATTGTGTCATTGGGGTGTCAAATGCTATAATGGTTACCCATGGTGGACAGTGTTTGGTGGAGCTCCCAGTTTTAAGACAGGTTTGGAAGCAGGAGTGGCGTCCACTTCCTAAACCACATGCCTCTGGAAACTCTGTGAACTTGGAGAAATGATGATAACTATAGAAAAGCTCCAGGCCTTTTGTTCATAGGGTCACTATGAGTCATGCTCAACTCAACAACAATGTGGCAATAAGGAGATCACTTATCCCAAATGGCTCCAGAATGGTGGTGTCCCCCAAATTTGAGATTTTCTATTTTAAAATCAAGACAGTTCCAGACAAGCCAGGACAAATTGGCCAACCTAGGCGACAATCACAATTTCACCTTGACTCCACTCTTGGTCATCTTGCTGACAGACTCAAAATCCGAAATAATGAAGGCCACCAGGTAGGTGCTCATCTTCACAGTGACATCAAAATGGTCTTCTATAAGTCCTTCATCAATAGTTACAGATTTCACCTGAAATTAGATTAGCTCAAATGATCAAACAAGTCAGTTACCAGTATATTTAAAACATTTGTATAATTTTTGTAATTTCCTAATTACTAGAAATAATATTGAAAGTACATGGCATTATAGTTACATAATTATTCTAAATCATTTCTTTCTAAATTTGATAGGTAATATAATCAGGAGTGGCATCCACTTCCTAAACAACATGCCTCTTGAAATTCTATAACTTTGATAAATGACAATAGTTATAGAAATAGTTCAGGCCTTTTGTTCATAGGATAGCTGTGAGTCGTGCTCGACTTGACAGCAATCAACAACAACAACAACAATAAGCTCAAATTAGTCTATTCAGTTTTTTTACTGAGATAAAACTCACTGACCATAAAATTCACCATTTTAAAGTGTGAGATTTAGTGGTCTATAGTATATTCACAAAACTGCACTATCATTTCTATCCAATTTTTAAAAAATATTTCAGAGAGTTATAAATTGATATTTCTTCTATGTGAAGTAGAGGCAAAGCACAACTGAACTTGCTGACTTTGCCAAGGTGTATGTGTCTACTTGTCTAAAGACGTATATCTGACAATTATACATGTAAATCAAGACTGTTTTCTAGGCTAATCCATAAACTTAAAGAATCTAAACATAGTTTCTGTTTCCCTGTAAAATTAAGGCTCGGAATGCCCCTGCCTGATCCTCACTGCCTCTTCCAAACTCTGATTTTGCTTCATTGCAATCAGCTTTTAAGCGCAATGAGGGAGGAGTAACCTTGTTAGGGGTATTGAGGGAGGGTGGTAATGAAGTTCAGTCTATAAGGTATGTTCTCTACGGACAAAAAACTAGTGCCTTAGAACACAGAAAGACCAAGGAAGAACCACGGAATAAACGCCAGCCAGAGCTAACCTGGAGAAATTCAGGCTAATAATAAGCATGTTTTCTGTAATCTAATTTCCAGCTCATCAGAGGCAAGGATAGCAAGACTTTACCCTACATATTTTGGGCATGTTGTTAGGAGAGGTTTTTCCCTGGAACGAGACATCATGCTTAGGAGGGTGGAGAGTCAGCAAAGGAGAAGATGACCTTCAATGAGATGGGGTTGACACAGTGATGCAGCAATGGGCTCAAGTCTGTCAGAGATGATGAGGATGGCACAGGAGAGTTCAGATCTGTTGTTCATAGAGTCACTGTGAGTCATACTCAACTCAATAGCAGCTAACAACAGTAACTTTCCTAACTTCCTCCCTCTTCTTAATACTCACAAAGTAAGACTATTGCTTAGTTACTTTTTGGCTTTTCACATTTTGACTAATAAGCAGCCTAGATTTGCATCCTGGAAAGCCTCAAATTACTCTTTCTTTTTAAATGCCTTCTACTGACACCTAGGAAATTCCTGAGTGGCACAAACCATTAAATGCTTAACTGGTAACGGGAAGGTCAGTGGTTCAAACTTACCCAAAGGCACTTCTAAAGAGAGGTCTGGGAATCAGCTCCCAAAAAGTCACAGTTTTGAAAATACTATGTTACAGGTGTATAGTCCTATTCTACACACAGGAGATTATCAGGAGTTGGAATCAACTAATGATAACTACCACAATATAAGGGCCACCTCAAAATAAAATTTATATCCCTAAAGCTGTGCCGAGGTCACCTCTTTAAAGTGTGAAAGAATAAGTATGTCACATTAAAGACTAAGGTGAGCCTGACTTGAGTCATAATATTTTTAGTTACTTAGTTACTTCATAGGCATATGAAAGATAGGCAATAAATAAGGAAGATGGAAGAAAAATTTATGCTTTTGGATAGCAGTGTTGGTGAAGACTGTTGAATACTCTGCCAAAAGAATAAATCAACTTATTTTGTGAGAAATTCATCCAGAGTGTTTCTTAGAAGCAAGGATGATGAGAATTCATCACACATACTTTGGACATGTTGTCCGGTGTAGCCAGTCTCTGAAAAAAGGGACTTGGAAAAGTGGAGAGTCAGTGAAAGAGAGGAAGATCCTAAAGGAGGCTGAGAGCAATGGGCTGAAAGTGCAGTAGAACCTGTGAGGACAGTGCAGGGTCAGGCAGTTTTGTTCTACTGTACACAGGGCTGCTAGAAGTCAGTCAGAGTCCACCTGACAGCACATAAAACAATAGTAAAAGGTTGATTAATGTTCCTTACAAGGAAGAACAGAGAGACTTTTTTTAATGTACTTCTGTACATGTTATCTAGCTGGGCCAATCCCGGGAGAATGAAATCACACTTAGTAAAGTGGAGGGTCAGCAAAAAAGAGGAAGGACTCTCAATGGAATGCAATGATGCAGTGGCTGGATTCAAACATAGCAAAACTGTGAGGATGGTGCAGAACTGGGTTCCCCTGATTAGAAAGAAACTAGATGGCATCTAATGAAAACAAGCTGATGAAATGAATTCTGATTTAATTGTGGTTTATTCCTGCCCACTGTCCAAACATTTCAATATATCTAGAGTATAATGCTGGACGTTGTCGTGAAGATGGGCTGGCAGCAAAAAGCATCGACATGGCCACGGAGGGGGAAGTGGAGCTGGAACTGGAGACTGAGACCAGCTGCCCTGTGTAGACTCTGAGAACCAAGGAAGCAGGGTTACAGTGCTGCAGACTTTGACGGAGTCTTTTACTATGCGGAAGAGATTCAGAGTTCCAATCTAGAGACGATAATGCCTGTGAATGGAGACAGGAGGACCAGGAGCAGAAAGCCAAAGAGGAGCTGGAGAAGGAATTGGCAAATATCATCAAGAAGGAAGACGGGGTGGGGGGGGGGGGGGAGGGAGCAAGAGGATTGTATACCAATGAAGGAATTTTTCTTTTACTTTTCAAAGAGAAGAGCAAACTGAGTGGGAGGGGTGGGCAGGGGAAAAAATGCAACAATGAATAAATGGAAATCCAAAATCTCTATAAATATTCATTAAAATTAATAAATTTAAAAAAATGAATGGATCAGAAAAGGACAATAAAAAATGGAAATGGTACCCGAAAAAAGGAAGACTTTGAACTGATAATGACAGAGATAGAGCTCTCAAGAGCAGCAGTGGAACGGAGTTTGCACATGGGCAATGTGCTGGAGGCTCTTACTGCCCTAACCAAGTAAACATGCCCACAAGATTAACTTAATTGTAATAAAAATGTTTTTGTCTTTTTTTTTAAAAAAAGTATACTTCTTTACCAGTCTTCAAAAAAAAGATCCTTTCAACTGATCTTTGCTTACCCTCATGCAGCCTGAGGTTAAGACAATCCTCTTAGATTTCCCTGTTCAAGATGGCTTTAGTGACTCTTGCTCAGAGTCAAGGAGGACCTGGTAGGTGGGCCTTTGTATTCAAAAGTTGGTTGGAATTGGCAAAAATCAAGCCTGCGGCCCTCCGACCTGGTGCTAACTGTGCTTGGAATGTTGTTGTTGATTGCCTTAGAGTTGAGCTTGACTCATAGCAACCATATGAACAAAAGGCTTGAAGCCCCTCTACAATTATCGACATTTATCAAAATTTGTCGGATTCTGGAGGCATGTTATTAAGAAAGTGGATGTGACTCCTACTTCCAAACCTGTGATAGAATGTTATTGGTTAAGCCACCTGCAGTAAATCAATCAAACACGTGGTCCAACACGAACAGTAAGTATAGAGCAATGTGAGTCATAGCAAAGTAGGAGATTATTCTTGTGAGTAGTAATACAGGAGGTGGGCTTACCAAGGGCATGTTGGAGATGGCAACGTGTCTGGGCTCCCTTCTGATCTTGACTGAGAAGCTCGCTTTCAGGGCAGGTTCATCAAAGCAGGGAAAGGCCATTCGAGCTGCAGTAGGTTCAAACTGCGTAGAGGCAAGTATCCTAAAAGGTGACCAGTGAAATAAAAACAGAGTTTGAAGCACTAGGGATTCTAGCATTGTTTGTTTTCAATTTCTAAAGGTAACTTAAGATTAATAGATTTTACTACCAAAAAAAAATCTTTCATATGACAAATGCACATCCAAAAATTTCTCCAACAGGGTAAAAAGGGAAGCCACAGACTGGGAAAAAGTGTTTGGTAATGACATGTCAGATAAGGGACTTATAGCTAGAATTTATAAAATACTTGAGCACCACAATAAGATAAAGGTAAATAATCCAATTGAAAAATGGGCGCAGGATATGAACAGACACTTCACCAAAGAAGACATTCAGATGGCTAACAAGCACATGAAGAAATGTTCAAAGTCCCTAGCTCTAAGAGAGATGCAAATCAAAACAAATATGAGATAGCATCTCACCCCAGTAAGACTAGCAAAATTTAACAGAACAGCAAGCAACAAGTGCGAGCGAGGTTATGAAGAGACTGGAACCCTTGTTCACTTTTGGTGGGAGTATAAAATGGTGCAACCACTGTGGAAGGCTGTATGGCATTTTCTCAAAAAGTTGCAAATAGAGATACCATTTGACCCAGAAATTCCACTACTGGGAATATACCTAAAGTGACCATAACCGACTTCCAAGCAGATATACGCACACCCATGTTTATCGCGGCTTTGTTCACAATAGCAAGGAGCTGGAAACAACCTAAGTGCCCATCAACAAATTAATGGACAGAGAAGCTGTGGTATGTTCACACAATGGAATACTACGCTGCATTGAAGAACAAGGAACTCATGCAATATTATTCAAAATGGGTGACCCTGGAGGACATTATGCTGAGTGAAGTGTCTCAGTCATAAAAGGACTAATACTGCATGGTGCCACTGTTGTAGAATGGTACTGACATCAGGGTTGGGGTAAGACTGAGAAAAACTGGATAAATTATGTATACTGCATTGAAACAGATGAGGGAGAGAACAGTTTAAAAGCGATATATGATAGGGTATTATGGTTATCACAAGAGTCCAGAATTAAGGTTACATAGTGGAGCATACTTGGACCAACCCAAGTGCCCATCAACAATTGAATGGATAGAAAAAACTATATCCATACAATGGAATTCTATGCAGTACTGAAAAACCAGGAACTAGTAAAACATTCCACAACATGAGTGACTCTGAAGGATATTATGTTGAGTGAAATATCTCAGTCACAAAAGGACAAACACTGCACAGCACCACCGTTAGAAAGCAGGACTGACATCGGAGTTTGTGAGGAGAAAAGGACAAGAGTGAATAGACAATGAACACTGCTTTGGAACAGATGATGAAGGAAAGAACTGTTTCAAAGGCATAACTAATTAGGCATTATAACAGTATAACAACAGCTCAGAATAAGAGGTACATTGCAAAGATGACTTGCCATGGTGGTGGTGGAAAGTAATTGTGCAAAAATGGGTGAATATTTGGAAAAATATGGAACTGGGGGAATGGAAGGGGAGAAGGTATGGCAATCAATGATTGAAACTCCAACTTTTCTATAAACTTCCATTAAAATGGAAAATTATATTAAAAAACAAATAAAAACAGAACCAAACAAAGTAGGTAGGAAAATAAAACAGCATATTATATTTCAGTAGATAAATAAACAGGTATTTCTTTCTGACAGAGCTGAGGGAAGGGAAATCAATTAAAAGAAGATGACAAGTGAGAAGAAGGAAGCAGGGGGAAATACTGGCTATTTTAACTCTGTAAAGACAAAAGCAAAGAAGGGTTCAACAATCAAGGGAGCTTGTAAACATGGTCCATTTGGAAAAAGACAGTTTACATGGGCAGCACATGAAGATTTTAAAAAATTATAAAATAATTACCTTACTTCCCCTTCCTTGGTTCTGTAGGTGCTTTTATAAAAGCCATGGAAACTTTCAGAAAGGTTGCCCGCATAATCAATCACCACTGTGTATGGGATGCCGGTGAGGAGGGGTTTGGGAGCCAGAAGGGCGATTTGTTCATGAGGTTTGTATTCTAGGACCTTTAGCAAGTCTTCAGATGGCCGCTCTCCAGCCCCTTTCCTGAGGGTCGCCTTCGATATCTTCAGGTGGTGACTATGCAGGATGATGCTACTGGTGGACTGGCTGGCTGTGAGTTCTATCTCTGTGGTCCCCCAGAAGGTCAGAGTGGTGAGATTTGCATGGATCATGAGATCATAATGAACCGGGATGACATGCTCAGGAAGCCGCATTTTAGTCCAAGGAAATGGTGCCCCATTACTAGCTTTTGGAGCTATAGTGTCACTCTTCTGGCCCCATAAAGGAGTTGGTAGGATTAAGAAAGACACCAGTGAAGAGAGTAGAAATGACATGGCTGCAGGTGGGCACTGAAGACACAGGGACATCATTTTTACTCTTGCTCAAAATACTTGATGTGACAAATCTTTAAAAGCAAGAAAGAAATTAAGTTATTAAAATGTTATCAAAATAGCTTAATTTTAGAAGCCACACACACACATTTCTCTTAGATACTAGTTCTTTTCCAGAAAGCAAAATTACTTTCTCTATTTCTGAGTCATAGAAGAGGTTTACACTTAACTGTAATCATTTGCAGTTATTGCTGGCTGCCCTGCAGTGGGGCTACAGTGGGGATCCCCTAAGCTGGCAGAGTTCACAATATACTTCTAGAAGTCAGTAGTTCTCATCCATGGCTATACACACACACACACACACACACACACACATACTATATATATATACACACATATATATATGTATATTTCTAGCATTACCTAGAAAATTTTTTTAAATTACTGATGTAAACATTCCTCCTAAGTGCACTTATGCTATGGATGAGGCCACTATGCCAGAATAAAAAAAAAAATCCGGTTATTTTATTAAGGGGTTAGCATCGAGAAGCTTCTACATAATCCTCACTGTCATGAGTTGGAATTAAAGAGTTTGGTTTTGATTTTAAACTTGGTCTTATCCTTTGAGCCTTCTGTAGTGGGATACTATTTCAAGGTAATAACTGAGGTGCCTTCCTCTTATTAGCCATCTTGCTTTCCTCTCAAACCACAGTTAGAGCTACTTATCACTCACTCCCTGCCAAATAGAAGCTAAACAGAAAGATCTTAACTTATTGGAGACCATCAGCTCTGATACACCACAATCCCCGTACACAAAGCAAGATGCAGATCAGGCATAAAGAGATTTCAACAAGAACAGGTTTGGTTTGGCTTTGTCTAGGAGCCAACTCAGGAAAGTTTCCATCTGCAGAGAGAAGTGCAGTCTGGAGAACAAAGATTAACATCAGCAGCATGATAAGGGCTTCTGCCCTACCTCCTTTAGCAGAATCCCAGGGCTGGAGTCTGAGTAACAAAGTTCCTCTGAAGTTCGGTGGCCTGGAAATCAATGGAACGTGTGTCTTGTTTCCATCTGTAACTTCTGCTGGCAGCAGTTAACTAGGTGTGGCCTGCGCCCAAGACAACAGAGAAGGCAGTGGGAATGCAGGTACAGGCATGTCAGAACTCTGGGAGTCTCTGAGTTTATCCATCAGCCCAGGAGAAGATCTGAGCACTCTGTCTGGTTCTGATCTGAGAGCCAGGATTTGTTCTGTGGGCAGCTGAGGGGTTTGGTGTAAAGCTGAGTCCGTAACAGACCAGAGAGACAAGGCTGCAACACAGGGCCGGGACATCTAATATTGAGAGTGTAAGTGTCAGAATGTATTTGCCTGTACTTTATAGATAATGGTGCAAACTGCCACAAGTACCACCATATCTTTATTGAAAGAAAAAAACTACCAACCTGTATTACTGATTTAACTAGTAGGATTTTTTTTTATGTTCCATTAAGTCACAAGTGATTCTCTCACAAGTGATATCTAACCCTCTAGCAGGTCTTCAGAGGCAGTAAATTGCACAGAAGGAGATTACCCATCTTTCTACCACAGAGCATCCAGTGGATTCAAATGCACACCTTTGGGCTGGCAGCACACCTCCAGGGCAGTCTATAGATAGCAGGGGTAATTTTGCGCACCACTATATTTCAGTCTATGTGCAATCCTTAACAGAGTTCCATCTTAAAACTGGTAGCATTTGACTGCAGTTAACTTTGCTTAATGTCTGTCTTTACTAAAATCTTAAATAGCACCAGGCAGGGAGTATATCTCACAGAACTGACACATAGTAGACAATCTCTGAATGTTTGAGATTAAAGAATTGAAAAGAAGTTCCTACTCCTAAACCACCAAACCAAACAGTCTCCCTAAAACAGCTCTTCAAAAGATCCCCTCCTCGACTCTTTGGGCAGACAACCAAGGTCTTTTGTGTCTGGTCATGTGGGAATTCGTCTTCCACAAACCCCTGATCTAGGATCAAACGAGTTTTGCCTATTTGCAAAATGTACCTGGTACCTTTCTTCCTCCACATCTCTACTAAAATTTCCTTCCACCTCAACAACCCTCTCTCATCTTTCAAGGCACATCTTAAATAAGATATCCCTTCCCTGTACATTTCATTTACAAGTGTCTTACACTTCCTTTGAAACTCAGCATTTTCTTAGATCCTCTTATGGCATCTCACTACACACCTGCCTTATAATACTATGGATGGCACACTGAAGCCACTTTACTGCACCACTAGAAGCTCATAGAAAACAAGAATGATAGTCATCTCAGTATTGATCAAAACCCACTGCCATTAGGTCAATTCCAATTCACAGAGACCCCTCCCATCATGTTTCCAAGTCTACAAATGAGAGGATACTGTCCACCTTTCTCCCCTAGAGTTACTGATGGATTTAATCCCCAGAAAGCCCTTGGATTAGCAGAACAACTCACCATGGACTACACCACTAGAACTTCGTGGCACCTAGAAATGCATCATGTACATGAGGAGTTGGCTATAAACTAATAAAAGTGAATTAATCATTTCACCAATTAATGTTCTCTTAGTAAATTCTAATAATCAGTTATAGCCAAGGTTCTGTGATCATGTTTCAGGGCGGATGACTCTTCCCTGAAAACTTAGCTCCTCTCCTTTGACTTGACTTCTAATAGTGCTCAAGTGCTCCATTTTTGAAAAACAAAATTTTTATGGTTCTGTCAGGTTGTATGGTTAGCTTAACAACTGTCATATTGTCAATATTAACAATTCTCTTTAAAAAGTATGCAACTCAAATGAAAGTCCTCAAAAACAAAAGTATTCAATATAAGGGCTCTGTGACTTACTGGTAAGGAATTACACTTTCAACCCAAAGGCATGCTGTTCCAAACTACCAGCTGCTACAAAAGAGAAAGATGGACAATCTCCTCCTGTGCAATTTACTGCTTCAGAAAACCAGCTCAAGGGTCAGCTAGGGGTCAATTTTGACTTGATGACACACAACAACATTAAACACAAGCAACCTTTTTGCAAAAAAGGGTTCAATTCTTTTTGAGGTTAATCTCCAAATGCACTTAAGGGGTAGAAGCCAAGTAAGAAAAAGAACCACTATTTATCAAGCACCTAAGAAGTACTGTTGATCTCCCAGCTTTGGCTAGGTGTTTCATGGATAATATTCTTGAAATTTACCCACAGCTCATTTAGCCTTCATTCAAGGCCTCAAACCTGCCCCTGAGATGGTTTTTATGTTCTTGCAGGACAGACTCAAGATCTTATTTTCGTTCTTCGGTGACTTCACAACATGTCCAAAGTATGAGAAATGAAGCTTCCACATCTTTGCCTCCAAGGAGCACTCTAGCTGCACCTTCTCCAAGACATATCTGTTTGTTCTTTTAGTAGTCAATGGGCTACTCAGCACTCTTCTCCAACACTGCAACTCAAAGATATCAATTATTTTTCTGTCATCCTTATACATTGTCTAGCTCACTGATGCACAGCAGAAGACTGAAAAGATCATGGCCTGAATCTAGCATGTCTTCAAACCAACATAACTGCACTTAACTATTTCAAAGAGAACCCTGACGGGAGACTTGACCAATGCAACAGGTCTCCTGATTTCCTTATTGGTGATACTAAGGGTGTTGGTTGTTGATCCAAGCAAGATGAAATCATTGACAACTTCAATCCTTTCTCCATCTATCATGATGCTTCCTGTTGTCTTCGTGGTGAGGACTTCTGTTTTCTTGATGTTGTGACTGTAATTCATACCAATGGCTAGAGTTCTTGATCTTCTGCAGCAAAGGTTTCAAGTTCTCATTTTCTGTAAGCAAGGAGGTGTCATTTGCATAACATTGGTTGTTGATCAGTATTCCTCTGATCCTGATGCCACATTTCTCGTCATTGAATCCAGCTTCATGAATTACTTGCACACAGATTGAATAAGTACTCATTCTGATTTTAAACCATGCAGTCTTCAATATGGACTGAAGCTCAATATCAAGAAAACAAAGATTCTCACCACTGGGCCAATTGGCAGCATCAGTATGGACGGTGAAGAGATTGAGATAATTAACAGTTTTAGTTTGTTTGGCTCCACAGTAAACACTCTTGGTAACAGCAGCCAGAAAATCAGGAGACGAAATGCATTGGGAAAGTCAGCTGTGAGGGACCTCTCAAGAGTACTGAAGTGCAATGACATCAGGCTGGAGACTAAGGTGCTCCTGATCCAGGCGATAGTCTTTGCAATTAGTGCTATGCATTGAAGAGTTGGACAGTGAATAGGGATGATAGAAAGAGAATTAATGCCTTTGAGTTGTTGGAGAAGAGTGTTGAATATACCATGGACTGCTAGGAGAACAAACAGGTTTGTCCTGGAGAGGGTGAAACCAGAATGTTCCCTGGAGTCAAGGATTCTAAGCTTTGTCTGATATACTTTGGGCATATTGCAAGGAGGGACTGGTCCTTGGAGACGGACATCATGTTTGGGAGAGTGGAGGGGCAGCGCAGGAGAGGAAGACTCTCGATGAGATGGATCGATTCTGTGAGTGGAGAGGTGGGAATGAATGTGTTTGAGACAGCGAGGTTGGCACAGGATAGAACGGCGTTTGGGGCTCTTGTACATAGGGTCGCTATGAGTCGCAAACGACTTAATGGCACATAACAACAACAACAACAACAAGTGTTCCCTTGCTCCATTCAGACAATAGCTTCTTCATCTAGGTAGGTATCTCATGAGTACAATTAAGTGTCCTGGGATTCTCATCCCTGTTCTCCTCAATGTTAGCCATAATTTGTTATCATCCACATCGTCAAATGGCCTATTGTTAAAAGGAGCTGTTCCTTGGAAGGTAAATGCTTGAAAAGGTCAGCGAAAGGAGAGGATGACCCTCTATGAGATGGACTGACACAGGACTGTGACCATGGATTCAGGCATGTCTGAGATAATAAGGATGCACAGGATAGGACAGGGTCAGATCTGTTGTTCACAGAATTACTCTAAGTTGTACTTGACTGGACAGGCACCT